CCCGGTGCCCCTCCAGCCGCTGAGGATCCCCGTGGTCACTCAGGTCCGGTCCTGTGCCATGGAGGACAGGTGTCCCCCCCCCCACACACACACATACAGAGGCCTGGGGCCCAGCAGGACACGTGCCCTCCTCACCTCCTCGTCCTCGTCCTCATCTCTCGCTAAGGAGTCTGCAAAGGAGAAACGCCATCGGCCAGTCACCAGGGATGGGGGACAGGCCTCCATGGGGCTCTGAGCCAGCTGCAGCCACAAGCTCAGAGACCCCGATGGCCCCGTGCCACCCCTGCCCCACAGCCCACCCCCATGCACTGCCCCCAGCCGCTATATGGTGGGGACCTCTGAGGACAGGGTCGGGGCTCTGGATCTCCCCTCTCTCCACGGAGAGGACAGGCAGTGCAGCCATTTTTGTAGGACCTCTGCAAACCCGTGCCCTGCCCAGCCACCTCTTCCCCCACACGCCCCCTCCTCTTCCCAGTGCCCCCGGGAGCCCCAAGGAGAGGTCTCTCCGCCGCCCCCCCGTCGCGGTACCTCCGTTGGGCTGCTGCAGCTCGCACACCTCGTAGATCTTGTAGGGCTGCATGGGGGTGTCCTTGGTGCCATCATAGATCAGGTTGAACTCCCGGCTCTTGTTGAGGGCGCAGCGCAGGTTGGCCTTCCACTTGGCCGGGTCCGGCTCGTCCACCCCTTCGGTGTACTTGCCCGTCTCCTTGGCCCAAGCCTGGGGGGGATGCGCTGGGCTGTCACATAGATGGGATCGTGCCATGCCATGCCAGCCCAGCCCAGCCCCTAGGCTAGGAGACCCCTAGAAACCCACCATCCAGAGCGTGCCCCCCAATTCTGGCCTGCGGGGACACCCAGGAGGAAGGGGGCTCTGCATAAGAGAACTCTTCCCAGGCCAGCAGATACCAGCCCCTGCTCCCAGCACCCGAGGAGCCAGGTTGGAAGGGCTGGGATATGCTCTCTGCAGTGACATCAATGTGCCAAGCACCATCGCCAGAAATACCCAGCCCTGCTGCAGGCCTGGCCTGGCTGTGCCCGGGGATGGGGGAGGAAACTGAGGCACAACCCATGGGCATCCAAGCGAGCGGCCTGTAGGGCCCCTGCAATGCCAGTCGACTACAGTGAAAGTTGTGGGGGATCAACACTTGCCAGAATCAGGCCCTACAGCACGGATCTGTCCAGACCCAGGTAGGATCTGAGACGAAGCAACCCCGAATGCAAGCGGGGAGCACCACGGGGACCCACGAGTCCGGGTTGCCCGTGAGTCGTCTAGCACAGGGTGCTGCCAAGGCCTCTTTGAATGGCACACCCTCAGCTCCAGGGTGCAACCTGCTGGCAAAGGACCCTGCTCCGACCCCGCCGCCTTGCCCCCCGCGTCACCTTGAAGATGGTGTTCTCGTCCTCCTGCGTGGGGATGTGCCGCGTGGCGTGGCGCCAGGGGATGCAGAACAGCTTGCGCTCGGCGTTCACCCACTGCAGCCCCGGGTACTGGTTGCTGTTCACTTGGGCGACCAGCCAGGGCTTCAGGCGGACGCGGCGAGGGTGCGGGTTCATGGCGACTCACGGCCTCCAGCCTGCACAGGGAGAGAGGAGAGAGGGTGAAAGGTGGGAGCGATCTCCCCGCGTCGGCAGGGCACGGGGGAGTCGGGGCACAAAGCCCTTTTCCTTTGCACACACGCTAGAGGCAGGTCTTGGCCAGTGCCCCTGCTACAGAGTCCCAGGAGGGCAGGAGACGGCCGTCCTAGGAAGCAGCCAGGTGTCCGGCCAGCCCGGGGGTGGGAGCACGGAGAAGCCCCTGAACCCCGGCAGGAAGAGCCCTCAGAGATTGGGGCACCCAGCGTGTCTTTCCAACCCCTTGCCTCGCTGCAGGCCCAGCTGCTGCCTGAGACAGCAGAGGGAGTAGTGACAGCAGTTATCATTTAGAGATGCTCCCTAACAGGAGACGGCGGACTGGGAGGTGGTCCCTCAGTTGGAGAGCAGCCGGTGAGGAGTGGGTTCAGGGAGACAAAGGGTCTGCCGAGGTGGCCCACTGCTCCACAACTGAAGTTCACTGTTTTGTCCTTCTCATTTGCATATGCTTGTGTTTATTGAACCAAAAGATCACTACGCCCAGAGCAGCTTTCCCTGCCCTACTGCTCTTCCCGGCAGGAAGTTTCCATCCCCGGACACCTGGAATTCCCCCAGGTGACATCCCAGGCACAACCCTTCCCCTCCTCGCTCTCCCCCGCAGCTCCTCCCTTTGCCCTCTGAACTCCTCTGACTCCAAGTTTCCCTTCCCTCTATCCACAAGCATGGCTCATCCAGCTTATCCTGCCCTGCCTTGGTCACTAGTGCTGAAACAGCTGCTACGGTCCACCCCAGAAGGAGCCGCATTTCAACAGGCGCCAAGCCATTCACCCTCTCACAGAGCGCATCCGACTCTGCCACTCGCCCTCACGTTGGAGCCACCGCTGGGGAAAGCGACGGGGTTTGCTGTGCGGGGACCCGGGCGGAGTTGTCCAAGGGAACAAAGCCCAACCGAGCAAGCCTGGCTTTTAACAGCAACTCCCAACTCGCTCCTGCTCGCTTTCCTCCAAAAGGGCAGCAGGAGCCGTCCATGAGGCACACGAGGCTTTCCTCATAAACAGCCTCGGAAGCTACAAGGAAAGCTCGTGGGAAACCGCAATTAAAGAAAAGACAAACTTCCTTTGACTCTGTGACCTCTTCTAGCGCTGGGTAATGACCGGGCCTCATTAACAGCCTCCGTGGGTGTTTACTCCCTGGGGACAGGCAGCTGGTTGAGTAAAACACCCAGGAGCGGGGATCCGGGGGCATCTCCCCTGCCACGTATGCTCAGGAGAAGCATGTTCCCTTCTGCTGCAAACGCAAGGAAGGAGGCATTTGCAGCCACCAGCCCACGGGTCTGACTGAACGCCATCAAGGTCCCCCTCCCACCACGGGCTCTTTCAAGCCAAACAGCAAAGCCCTGCCCTAGCACGCACCGCCGGCTTTATACCAGCACCACGACCTGAAGCCTGGCCCAGATGGTCGAGGCCCACGCTCCCAAACGCGTGTCGGTGATGCATGACTTGATGTGAAAGAGCAGGCAGCTGCTTTCATTGCGTCTGCCGGGGGGCCTCCCTGGTGATGCTGTCCCACGCGCGGCTGGCTGGGACGAGGGTTTCTGTGTTGTAGACGCCGTGCACTCTGGGAGCGTGGGTTTCTCCCTGAAACCCAGCGTGTTTCATAGCATCAGAGACAACGAAGGTGGGAAGAGAGCTCAGGAGGTCACATCTAGTCCAACCCCTGCTCCAAGCAGGACCAGCCCCAGCTACACCATCCCAGCCACGGCTTGGTCTACCCGGGTCTTCAACACTGTCAAGGACGGAGACTGCACCACCTCTCTGGATAGACAACCTGTTCTAGGTATTTTATTATCCTCCTCATGAGAATTTTTTTCCTAATATTGAACCTCACCTTCCCTTGCTGCAGTGTGAGCCCATTGCTCCTTGTCCTGCCATCTGCCCCCACTGAGACCAGCCCAGCTCCATCCTCTTTGCAGCCCCCCTGCAGGGAGGTGAAGGCTGCTATTCAATCCCCCTCGGTCTTCTCTTCTGCAGACTCAATCAGCCCAGTTCCCTCCGCCTCTCCTCACCAGTCCTGTCCCCCAGCCCCCCAAATCATTTTGTCACCCTCCGCTGAACTCTCTCCAACGTGTCCCCATCCTATCTGCAGTGGGGGCCCACAGCTGGACACAGGACTCCAGATGTGGCCTCCCCAGTGCTGAACAGAGGGGAAGAATCACATCCCTCCATCTGCTGCAACGCTCCTACCAACGCAGCCCAGGATGCCATTAGCCTTCTGGGCACCAAGGGCACACTGCCGGCTCCTGTTTAGCTTTTTGTCCCGGTCCCCCCAGGTCCTTTTCTGCAGAGCTGCTGCCCAGCCCGCCGGTCCCAGCCTGCACCGGTGCATGGGATTGCTCCGTCCTAAGTGCAGGACTTTGCACTTCTCCTTATTAAAGCACTTGTTTATGTGCCGCTTGCTTCCAGCAAGGCACGAGCGGTTCCACTCCACGACGCTGCCCGCCCCGCTGCTTTGCTCTGAAAAGCAGCCTGAACTCAACCAGCATATCACAGTCCTGAGCCCACCACGGGGATTTCCTCTCCGAGAGCAGAGCCGGGGGCCTCGGCAGGCCTCCCCTGGGGGTGAAATGTCCCAGGCTCAGCACAACCGGCACCTTCAAGAGCTTTTGCATCGGAGCAGCCCCAGCGACGGGCAGGCGCTTGATCCAGGCAGCGAGCGGGTGAGGCCGCCGGCAGCTGTTACGGAGCCCAGCTTTCTAGGGCAGGCCCTAATTGCTCATGCCTTCCGCTCTGGAGACTCGTTTCCCGTGTGATCACCGAGACAGTAATGCTTAAAGGCACCCGGTCGATAGGCAGCTGCATCGTGGCTTGATCGTTACAGAACCAGTTTACTTCTGGTTTGAGCCCCAAAGGCCTTGTCCCTCTCGTACCGTTTCTTTTCCTAGGCACTGGCCCCAGTGCTGTTCTAGGGAAAGCCCCAGGTCCTGGAGTCCCGTGAATAGGGGAGCATCTCAGACCTCACATTTGGGAGCAAAGGCCTGAAACAGAGACTCAGGCAGGATCCCGGCAGCTCTGAGCCCAGAGGTCAATGCCAAAAGCTCAGCATTGATCCATTCATCCAGCCCGGCCCAGGGGGTTTGGAGCTCATTGAGGATTCAGAGGGAGGCACTGACCCCTACGCATCTCGCCCCATTGCCCACTTCCCCTCCTCACGGAAACAATCCCTGAGCCCAAACACAGGTCAACAGAAACGGGGAGGCACTCATCCAGTGGCCGCAAGAATTACAGCTGTTGCAGCCTGGAAGAGAAGTGACCCCCTTAAAATCCCCGATGCGTTCAAAAAATTTGGGAAGTTTAAACCACAACAGAGTTGTCCTATCAAGTCCGTGTTCGACAGGGGAGAGAAGGCATTGGGAAATTTGGTGGAAAATCCTGGAATCTGCTGAAAAAGAATTGTCTCCTATCTCCAAACCAGAAAGTTTGAGAAACTTTTTTATTTTTATTTTTTTAATATTGAAGCAAAGTGCAAGTTCTAACCGGTAAGGACCGATCTGGAATACATTTGAAATCTAAAAGCAGAGGTGAGTAGGCGATACCGAGCTTTGTATCATTCAGCGTTGTGGGGAGAAAGAGAGGGGGCGACTTATTCAGGCGGGTGCATCTCGAGACGAAGCACCACCAGCCTGATCTCGACCGAAACAGGAAGGAAGGGTCAGGGACTGAAAGGAGGAGGAGGAGAAAAGAAGACAAGACTCCCATGGACATTGGCTTGGATTAGGGGAGCACTGTGGGTGGAAGAACAATATCTGGCTTTATGTATATTTTGAAGAACAGGATGTGCCTTTAAATATTACTTTTTTCTTTGATACGTTTGATGGGTTAATGAATAAAACTAATAAAAAGAAAGAAAGGGGACAGCAGATGTGCTGGGAGCAGGATCTGGTTTCCCCAGAGAGAAACCAAGAAGGAAGACACGGCAGTGGCACCTGCAGACCTCCAAAGCCTTTCAAACCCGGAGGGTTTCCAGGGAGGCCTGAGAGGAGGCTGGCAGGCAGGGCAGCACGGGGCTGGGGCAGCTTACAGGAGGGATCCAAGCAGGCTGGGAAGCCCGTCAGTCACGCTCCCAGGCTGGAGGGGACTTGGGGCAGGGGACAGGGTCCTGGAGCAACCAGTGAACTGCCTGCCAGCCCCTGGCAGCTCTGGAAGGCCAGCAACGTGCAGGGGAAGGTGCTCAGACCACAGTGGGTGAGCTGCGGGGCTGGGGGATATTTCCACTCTACTTATAATGCATGGAGGCCCAGAAGGGAGAGGCTCAAATGGTGCAAAAATCAATTCAGCCCACCAGACCCAGCAGCCAGCAGGGGTAATGGACACAAATGGGGTTGCAACCCCCAACTCAAGGTTCCCCAATCTGTTAGCACCCCCAGAGAAGCAACCAGGTCCAACCATGCCCCCCCACCCCACGGCAGGAGCAGGGGTCGAGGCCATGCCAGCTGCTGCCACCCTCAGATCTTTCTCTGTCTAGAGCATGCGATGGAGAGCGGGTTTCACTTCACAGCCCGAGGGATTGCAACAGGCTGGTGTGCGAAGCGCGGGGAAGGGCAGCGGTGCAGAGGCTAAAGGAAGTCGCTCAGTTACATGGAAAAACCAGCGGTTAAAAGAAGCACGGTTCTAGGGATCGAAGGCAGCCAGGACCCGGCCCCAGGGGCAGGCAATGAAAAGGCCTCTCCCAGCTCGGGGAAGAGGGGCACAGAGTGGGTGCAAAAGGGAGAGGATTTCTGCGGGGCCTGTCCAGACACATCTTCCTGCAGCTCTCAGGGTGCATCTACTGCGCAGTAACCAAAACTGCTGAGCAGTATGGGCACACGTCTACACATGCACACCTGCACCGTGCAGTAAATGTGGTGACTTGTACTCACTTGAACATACATTTGATACCACATCATGCAGGTATCAAGTTTATGCCTGATTAGTTACTGTGCAGTAGTGCACATGTAGATGCCTTACTG